CCGATTGTTATAATTAATAACGGAATCATTAATTATAAACATGCGTTAAAATACTATTCAATATTATATAACAATTCAAAAATATTGATTAAATTCATTAAAACTAAACTTCTTAAGGAATAAAATATCATTAAAACTGATATCTAATAGAATGGTACCATTGGAACCGACAGTACATTAAGACAAAACTAAACTCCATATCATATATCAATTTAATATGAATTTAATTTTATGCTCTAAAGTGAGCAAAATATCCTGTTATATATATATATTTAACGATTAATATGAATAGTTTTCAATAACTAAGACAACATTTTTAATAATAATTTATAAGAATCTGTTTCTAAGGCGACAAAATATAACTACTTTCAGTGAATTGGGATTTTAAAAATCAAAATTACGAATCAAAACATATATTCAAGAGAAGTGATTGTAAACATTGTTTAACCGTTTAATCCATTCATATGTGATTCGTTTGACTCCAAATCCATGAGTCCCGACATATAAGTGTTAGGAAACGTGGGTTCAGTGATGAAAGCAGTGGTTCCGTATTGAGAGTTAGAGTTGGGGTCAGTCAAGAAGGCGGCGGTCAGGATCTGAAGGGGTTGGATGAGTGTCAGTGAGGGAACGGCAGAGCGCCCTAAGATGACATTTGTGGGCTGAGTGCGCGCCCCAGTGTTCTCCAGTTGCTGAGACATGGCATTTCCCGGTGCGCTCATTGTGGGAGTATTGATCAAATTGAAGCCATATTTGGAGCGCACGGGTCCGTACTTCGAGACAAAGGGTCGGTCAGAGAATGGGATTATTTGATCGTCTTCTGAGGGAAGGTTAGTACTCAGCAGTGATGCGCCCATTTGTTGAGAGTTTTGGATCAAAGTGTGCGATGACGTCGATGTCACCAACACCGGCACCTGCATTGTGGGCATTGCAGTCAGATGTGGTTGACTCGAGTCACCGCCTCCTAATTCGGGTGCAGTGGGTGCGAGGAGTTGGTGCGCACCCATAGCCAGAGTCGGGGAGACCGTCAGATTAGTAGCTCTAATGATTCTGGAGGGCTGCACTGAAGCGCACGGTCTGACCACCTGTTGGAGGGCTGGATGTCGTGCTGACGAAGCCGACAACAGATTGATGGGAGGAAAGGGCTCTGAAGTGAACTGAGGGGACACCGGATGCTCTTCCATGAGTGGTCGGACGCGACTCACCCTTTGTCGCGGATTATTGTTTGGACACATATTTGTGACCATTTTGTTTCGATTCATGTTATTATTGGACGAATTGTTATACGAAGGACTGAATCGTTGTAAGAATTCAATCAATTGAAATGTAATAGTCTTCGCGCACTCCAGAGCTTCAGATAATTCTTCGAGTGTCGGGTGAGTCACTAATTATGGAATTAATTATTGTTTTAATTAATTAATAATTATTTTATACAATAAACCAATAAATCCAATATACAGTACAGTTCATACCCTGTGTAGGACTGGGATCTATGAGCGCTAGTCTTTCTAAAGGCTGTTTGATAGCATTGAGACCGGAGGGGTCACCAGTCCTTTGGAGTGCGAT